CATTCATCATTTGAAATGCTTTAGGCTCACTATAAGAGAAATCTAACTGATGAAGCCCATAAGTCATAGGAATGAACTGTTCTCCCTCCAATTGCCTTCTCACCAAGAGTGGTGTATAATTCGTCACTCCCCATAAACCTAAAAGCGAAACCATTGTACTATCCTTACATTGGTATAACATAGGCTCACGATTCATCAATGGGGCCAACCATCTCACCCTGGCACTTTCTAATTTTTGTAAGAAAGTTATCCATTCTTGTTTAGACTTTCGTTTTGACCACCCACTTTCGTAGAATTCCTTGATTGGAAAACGATTACGGATGTAAAGCTTCGAGAAAGTGCCATTTCTTTGTTCAAAATGACTTTTCATCCATAAGTACAATAACTTATACATCCTATGAAGTGCCCTCTATTCCGACGACAATAACTCAAAGATCTAATAGTCTCTGCTAATATCACCGTTGAAGGATTACAGCCATTGATCACACTTTCGAAGAAATCAACCACCGCTATCTCAATATGTCCCAAAACCTTTGGAAAGATTACCAGTCCGTATATAGCCAAGGCAAATATTCTAACCCCTGTTCTTCATTGGCATGCTGTATCAGAAACTCATAAAAGAACTTCTAAGGTAGGCAGACCTGTTCTTGTTTCTTCTTTGTATGAGAATCCACAACTTCCTTGTCTATCCCCATGAGTTGAGCTAGACTTTTATGAAATCTTGACTTATCTTTTTTGACATCTATCTTGTCAAGAGTCTTGAGATGTAAACCTATCAAGATTGAATATTCTTCGATGGTGGAAGTCATATCAGCTTCATTAAAAATAAAACACTTATATGCAGGATCTCAAAATTATGTTGCAGCTCTGATTAGCTGATCATCAACAGCCATTGCTAGAAGGTGTGCTATATGCCCATATTTTTGACAAAATTACTCTTGTCTTGACGGACTCATATTCTTTCAGATATCAACCAAATCTTCTAAATTGTTCTGTTTGAGAAGGATAGATGTTTCTTGAGACATAATAGAATCATACCCAATTGGCAAGCAATCTCTCATCTTCAGTTGAGTCTTTTCTGACAGGACCCTTACTTCATTAGGTGTCCCACAGGGTGTTAATACTGATGAAGAACAAAGTAAACGTTCATTGACGTCCATGAAAAAAATTTGTTGAAGACTATTTTTCAAGCAAATGTTCTTTATGTAACTTTATGATCTGCATATGAACCAATACAAAAGAAATAAGAAAAAGGTTAGTATACCCAGAAAAAGAACAAATAACTAAGTAAATTTAAACATCACACAAAGTAAAAGGGATGAATCCTATGCTTTTGGTCAATTCTAAAAGGGAAGAGTGATGGCTCTATCTATAGGTTAGGCAATCTTAAGGTTCACTATATGCGGTTTTAAGGTTAAAGTATAAAGGTCCTCAAATTGTTCCTTACATCTTTGTCCATCACAGATTAGTAAGGCACCCTAATCCTCACCCATTATAAGCTACAAGCGAAAAAGGTTCAATTTAATTGGGAGTATTTCGCTAGCCACTGCGGAGGCATTAGACCTCACGAAAGCAATAGGTACTTTACTCCCTCCTAGAGGGACGGAGCTCGAGTATAGAGCTCATGTTATGCACATGCACATGAATGACATAATTAATAAAGTAAATAAACATGAATGAATAATAATACATATATACAAAAGGGTTCAATTTTATTAGGCTTTTGGATAACACAAATTATTTGCTGGCCTGACTCTCAAAGTCCCCAGTGGAGTCGCCAAGCTGTCATAACGTCTAGATCCCGAGATCTATCGCTAGACATTGACTTAAAGGAGTCGTCACCAATCTTTTTTATCTAGGTGCGATTGGCCACCTAAGAAATCTGTCTTTTCAGGGAACACCTAAGTTTAAGGGTCCCTAAAAGAATAGGTTTAGGTCTACTAACCAGAACAGGATTCGAGAGTTCGGTTACGTGTGAAGAAGGTTATAGTACCCTCACAACGCCCATCAAAAGATGGTACCAAGTTAAATTTGTGTTATCCAATGAGCCTTAAAATTTTACCAAGTAATTAATTGTTGGAAATTATTCTCAATTGACTCTAATACTTTTAGCAAAAAATTGAAAAAATTTCCTCACCTCAAGAGTATGCAAGAAAAACTACTGTTTCACTTGCAGCAGCTCCGTCGTCGGATTATTTAAAGAAAAATCAAAATCAAAATAAAAAGGAAGGAAATGATGATTGTTCTTGTGCAGGAAAAATTGATACTTTCAACTTTTCCCCAAAAATTGATTTTTTTTAAATTGATTTTTTTTAAGAAAAATTGATACTTTCAACTTTTCCCCAAGAAATATTTTTTTGAAAATTTTGATTTTCAAGGAAAATTGATACTTTCAACTTTTCCTAAAAAAAATCTTTTTTTGAAAATTTATTTTTAAGGAAAATTGATACTTTCAACTTTTTCTCAAAAATATTTTTGGAAACTTTGATTTTCAAGGAAAATTGATACTTTCAACTTTTCCTCAAAAAAACTCATTTTTTTGAAATTTTATTTTTAAGAAAAATTGATACTTTCAACTTTTCCTAAAAAAAACACCCTTTTTTTTAATTTTATTTTTAAAAAAAATTGATACTTTCAACTTTTCCTCAAAAATATTTTTGAAAATTTTGATTTTCAAGGAAAATTGATACTTTCAACTTTTCCTCAAAAAACCTTTTTTTTTGAAATTTTATTTTTAAGGAAAATTGATACTTTCAACTTTTCCCCAAAAATATATATTTTTTATTTTTATTTAAAGAAAATTGAATAATAAAACAAAATAAAAATAAAAAATAAAATAAAGAAAAGTAAAACAAAAATAAAAATAAAATAAAGATAAAAAAATATTAACTAAACCTAATCTAATAAATAAAAAATAAATAAAATAAATAAAAAATTCAAAAAAAATAAAACCTGAAGCGGCTCGGTATACGGCTCGGCTCGACTCAAGGAAGAGAAAATGACTCGGAGAAGTGACTTGAAAACCCGACTCGGCTCGACTATCAGCTCGGAGAGGGATACACGCGCGGGTCAGGACGCGGGTCGACGCTTGGGTCGGGTCGGATCTCGACAAAACGCGCGGATCCTCTGGGTCACTTAAGGCCAAAACGACGTCGTTTTAGGAGGGTATATAAGGCTCTTTCCCTCTGTTTTTCGGCAGAACGCTCATCCCCTCTCTCTCTCTTCTTTTTTTTTCTCCCGCTTCTCTCTAAAAGCTGAAGAACTCCGGTTGAATGTACGCCAAATTCTAAAAAATTTCACCGAAAGTTGGCCAGAAGGTGGTCGATTTTTGGGAAAGGTCGCCAGAAACTGGGCAACTCGTCGAAAACTTCAAAGTTGATCGAAATTTCCGTCGGAAAATTCAACTTTCATCGAAAAATTCAATCGAAATTTGAAATTTTCCAGAAATTCCAAGAAAAAAAAACGCCAAAAATCTTCAAAAAATTTCTGCTAATTTTCAGAATACTTCTTAGCCTTCTATACTCTTCTATCTTTCAAATCAATAGCTTTGCTCACGTTTTTTCTCTGTGTTTGATTCTGTTCCAGGAGGTCCCTTTTATAGGGATTGATCAGGAGTTTCTGATCAATCCCAATTCCTTTTTGGACGGAAATTCAATCTTTGAATCCAATCTGAACTCTTCTGATTGAATCCCCATTCCCAGTAGAATTCCTCAGCCTTCAATCTCAACCTTCCAAAATAAAAATCAAATAAATAAAAAAAAATAATAGATAATTAAAAAAGATAAATCAAAAAAATATTATAGGATAAATAAAAAAACAAATAATAATAATAACAAATATATAATTAGATAAATAAAAATACAAAAATAAATAAAATAAATAATAAATAAAAATAAAAATATATATATATTAATAAATAGTACTAATAAATAAATAAATAATACATAGGATATAAAGGAAAATATATACATAAAATATAGAATAAAATAAAATAATAAAAAATAACAAAAATAAAATTGGACTTACCCATTTGGACCAGGCCCAATTGATCCGAGCCTGGACCAAATTAAGTGTCTACACTTGGATAAAAGAAGAGAGAGAGCTAGAAAAAAAGTGGTAAAAACTACAAAAACTTGAAAGAGAGATGTTTGGGTTTTAATTAATAAAATAGAACATTTTTTGGGCTTTGTTTTTGCTGTTGGAATTTTTTAGGATTTATTTGTTGCAAAAGCTGATTTGTTTTTTTTTTCAAAACAAAGGAAAGGCTGAGTTTATTGAATTCCTAGTATAAATTGGATTTTCTTTTTTTTTTCTACCCTTATTTTTTTTTTAATTTGACACACATGTAAATCATAGTAATTGCATAATCAATAATCAATAACTAAAATTTAAAATTTTCTTAAATTTCTTGATATTTAAAGTTATTATTATAAGTCTAGTCTTTACAATCAGAGTGCCTTCTTTTGATAATATGATACTCTAATCTCAAGTTGAGAGATTTTGAAGATTTATTATGGTATTTAAGTAAAGATTTAAGTTTAAATATTTGAGATACTTTTTATGGGATAAAATTATAATATTTTCGGATTAAAATAAATTATATTTTACAAGTTATATGTAAATCTTTACAAATGATATTAAAACGATAATCAATTGGATGGTATGATTTTGTGATTTGTATGTATTTTATATTGGACTTGCCTAATATTTTGTGTTATTCGATGAATTTTTGTGTTTTATGTTGAGCTTAACAGATACGTTAAATTTTAACGAAAAGAGTTTGTGACATCTAAATTTTGCATAAAAGTCTTTAATGATCTATTATAATATACAAATAAAAATTTAAACCTAAACTTACGAATCTACTTTTATAAAATAAAATTATAAAATTTTTGAATCAAAATAAATAATATTTCATAAAATAAATATGTGTCTCCAAAAATAAATATCATTTAAATCAGAAAATAATAGGATTTCTTGGCAATTGCTGACAAGTACAATCCAAATGACATGGCTGGTTGTCATTGCCTTGTCCTTGGTCGTTTTATCAAGGAGTCTTGCTTTTCAATTGCCTTCTTTTTTTTGTACTTGATGTCATCAAGATTGATTTGATCGTTACAATCATTGCAACTAAGATTTAGGACTACCAATAATCCAAATGATTATCTGCTTTTCAATTGCAACTTTTGGGTCCCATTTTGCTGAACTTCTGGCATTGGTCACTTTATTTAAATGAATATAATCAGCTAGAACTTAGTCACCTGTCACCCATTTTAAAAAACTTCTGCAGAAAATTAAAGTTTTCCTTCTAATTGATATCTCATTTTTAAGGCAATAAGATCAGGTGAACTGGTACCAGAAAGTAAAGCAGAGGAATTGGAGAAAAAGGAAAAAAGGATTGATGGCATTTTTTTCATTCCTTATATTTGTTATAATTTTCTTTTTCAAATTTCTATGGTGTGACATTTACATGTTGCAGATTCGACTGGTTCCTCAAATTGCTGAAATATCACTTCTTAGCCTCAGTAGACTTTTAAACCATTCAACAGAAGCCTTTGGAATCCTTGTAAGGTTATTTTTGTAGTCCACATAGTAGAGTCCGAATCGAACGGTATAGCCACAGTTCCATTCCCAGTTGTCCAGCAATGACCACACAAAATATCCTCGGACATCACAGTTATCTTCCCTGTGTTTGATCATTTTTCTGTCAGCTGAGCACAGTCACATCTGATTCTGAAGCACCCCAATTCCAAAATGTAGGAATCTGATACAACTTGAGCAGTATTTTTCATTACCTTATAGCAGCTGACAGGTTTGAGAGATAATCCCTGTGATATTCTATCCTTTTGTCATCTTTCAAAGCCTTGTTTATACTTATAAATGGGCTGTTTAAATCATCCATACCTGCAGGAATGTAAATTGTCTAGCATGTCGTAGTAGTATCAAGGGTTGAGCAATTCTGAAGCTGAAAGTACACTCACCATTTTCTGTTATTATAACAGGTGGATTACCATACTTATTTTTCAGATATCTAGCCAACTTCCTAATGCCCCATGGGACAATGCGTATCCATCGTGAAGCTGCCTACAGGAGGAAGTACTCATCAGCTGAGATTTATATATATGATTCTAGAATTCCAGTAAGTTTAAGTTGTCACGACATACTCTTTCTCCAATGGCAGCTCCACCTCGAAAAGCTACAATTGAGGAGATGTATGAGATTATTACTTTTGTATATATGAATTATGTTCTTACTGAAAAGATATATAAAATATTATGTTCTGGCATCTTACCAGTAGTAATAATGGCAGCATCTGATGAAGCATCCTGCAATATTAGTTTCCGGATTCGACTTCTGTCATTCCTGGCATAATGTGTGGTATAATGGTTTATGCCAATGAAGTCGAAAGACCCCACTAGCAATTTGGACATCTCTGGTATGACTTGAGGTAACCTTTCTCCCACAAGCCTTCTCATTGAAAGAGGATAGTCACCAAAGAAAAGTGGATCAAGGAACCTGATTCAACAATGAAAAACAGATTAAGGAATCTAATTCAATTTACTTATGTCAAACAGTTTGATACATAGAAATTAGTATCCGATACTACCATCCAATCCCAAAATCCATTGCTCTATTTGCTGCATCTTTATCCTCATCTTTATCAGATATCGGTTCGTACCATTTGGCATCCAATACTATTCCAATTTGACCTCCTTGTCTTTCCTGGAAACAATTTCTTTCCTAATTTTAGTTAAAGAATCATAGTGATATCTGATGACACATTTTATTTAGGATCATACCAATCCTACCTTGAAATTTCGCCGGTAACTGTGATAAGCAGCAGCATGAGACAGAAGGATGTTGTGAGCTACAATGTATGGTTCAGTTGATGAGTTTCCTGTCTTACAAAGTAGACCACCAAGAATAGAGCACCTTCCAGGAGCTTGAATGCCATTATCATAACCCTGGATTGAGAAACCATGAGGTTCGTTGATGGTGATCCAATGTTTCACTCTGTCTCCAAAAGCTCGGAAGCAAGTAAAGGCGTAATGCTCAAAGTCATCTCTGTAATTAATTGCATTCCCCTTGTAAAATCTGTTCTTTTTTTTTATTTGCAAACATTTTTCACATGCATAAATCCTACAGCACTTACACTATCTGTCTACTCAACCATCCTTCATATTTATCTTCAAGAATCTGTGGCAGATCCCAATGATATAGAGTTACAAAAGGCCGGATTCCTGATTAAAAACAATAGCTAGAGGTTCAATAATTTTAAACCATTCTCCATGAAAATGTTAACTGTAGTCCACAGATGTCTAGTCTGTTGTTAAAGTGTTAGATTTTTAGTTCTCGTGATCTAAGCAATGGTTTTATAAGCAACCTTTTTCTATTAAAGCATCAATGAGCCGGTTGTAGTAGCTTATTCCTTCTACATTTGGTTCCCCTGCTCCATCTGTTGTAAAGTAAATTCCAAAGCAATTACAGATATTATGATCAGAATCAGATGATCAAGAAGTATAAAGAGAATAAAATTTTAGACCTTATTGAAAAACTTGCCTGGAAATATTCTTGACCAAGATATTGAAAATCTGTACGCATCCATTCCCAAATCTTTCATCAAATCTATATCGCTCTGTGAAATTAAAAAAAAAAGTTTTTATCTCTAATTTATTTGGTAAAAGACAAACTATTTGAATTGACTTGTTGATATGTATTTTTTGACTTTATGCATGGATTTTATCATGTGTTTTATTTTATTATATTTAATGTATTGGTGACACATAATCATTTATCCAATATTTTTGTCATTATATTGTAATTAATTCGTTCGCTTATTATCATGATTCTGATTATATAATTTATGTTAAAGATTCTTATCTAAATGGGTTCTCCTCCTTAGCCATTGGGCTGTGCGTTAAGCTTTCATTCAACTTATAACTTTATTTTGTTGTTTTCTTTTGGGGTTGGTGGGATAGAAAGCTTCTTTCCACCAGCTTTTCTTAACAAAGAATATGAATGAAAAAGCTATCCTGTAATCAATTTCTTGGCTTTTGAAGTTAAAATTTAGACACAAGAAACAAAACAAAAAGAAGAGTTGAACTGATCATCATATCTTTGCTTTTATATCGATATGTAAATGTGTAATTCACCTCAAACCGGTGATATTGATCAACAGCTGTATCTGCATTGCTGAAGTCCATAATCTTTCCTATTTGAACACATTAAAAGAAAAAACTCGGAGATTTGAAACTCGTTTCAGAAATCATGCATTAATCATTGAACCAAATGCTTACCTGGTTTCCTAGTGAACGTATCCCAAATACTATCTCCCTTGTTTCCTTCATTCACGGCTCCTTCAAACTATATATATGTAATTTCCTTCTCATTAAGCAATGCTTTATTTCCAAAACCAAAAGCAAAACAAAAACAAGGTATATTTAGCTAACTGCAGGGAATTCACCTGGTAAGCTGAAGAAGCTGTTCCAAAGACGAAACCATCAGGAAAATCAGCTCTATTAACAGATTGATCTGAGCTAACAAATAAGAGCAGCCCGGTTATCAAAACCAAGACCAGAGAAATAATTGACATAGGTGAAGCTATTATTGTTATAGCTATAGAGGAGCTTTGAAGAGGGGTAGGTTATAGAATTCCCTGGATTATTTCTATATAAGGAAAATGAGTGTTTAGTTGTCTTAATTGTAAAGGTTCAGAAAATATATAGTTGATAGTTGAAGAAATACCAAGGCAAAAGCGACTGCAAGGTTTGGTTTCCTCTTGCAGGTGAAGGTGTTTAAAAGGATAGGCTAAGGTGGCCTGGTGAAGATGTTTGTGGAAGCTATCCTTGCCTTCTATGAACACGTTATTACAGAGAAATAAAGCTTATAAACACAAGGTTTTAATTTTAGGACCCACCAAAGAGAAGAAAGTCCATGAATATAGGGAATAAATACACCAACAAAAAATATATATTAGAATTATATACGATAATGACATATGTAAGCTAGGTCGGCTGGTTATTATATATAATTTTTTAAAGAGAAAATCTATCCACCATCACCGAAATCTTTAAATTTTATAACTGAATTAATAAGATAATACATATTTTTTTATGATATATTAAGAAATAAAAAAATAATTAAAAATGAGACATGTTAATTAATTTCATTTGTAAAATTAAAAAATTACCCTATTAATATATCAAAAACAATTCTAGAGACTATAGATCATGGGAAGGACATATGATATAACGAATTAGTACTAATAGCTTATTCTTTTTAATCCTTAATTAATTATTACTTTCATTTATAAGATCATCGAAATTCAATATTACAAAATTACGAGTTATAGTAAACCTTTTGGTTTTGGATAATGATAAAAAATTTTACTATATAAAAAATTAGGATTAATGAAAGAAAATTTTGTGTTAAGTGGCGTATTACCACAAAAAATGTGGATTACATAATTACTTTATAACTATATAGTCTAAGGTTCATGAATGTGGCTTTGATATTAAAAAAAAAAAGAAAAAGAAAGAGGTTGATTGGTTTTAGCTTAATTTTATTTATTAATTTCGTAGTTGTATATAAGTTTTGGATAGGAAAGAAGCAAAGGCATTAGGAGTTTCAAAAGATTGGGAAATCTCAAGGTTACACGTCAAAGCTAAGGTTTCCATTAGTTTGGTAAGAAAAGGAATATTGCATGTTTAATATATGATTAATAATATTATAAACTTTGTTATATAAGAATCTCAATTAGATTGGTCATGTACACTAACATCATTTCAAAAACATTCTTAGTTAACTTCAATTGTTTGAGCCAATCGAGTATTAATTCAAATTATATATATGTTAATCAGATTTTTAAAAATTACAAATTTAAAAAAAATTTAAAGACATAATATTTGATAAATAAAAATTAAAATTAAAAATACACTTTTAAAATTGTTCGATCCATGAAATTAGACAAAGGCAAAACATAGAGATAGCTCCTAAAAAAATAGTCGAAACTTATAGTAATACATTTGCAAAAAGAAATTTTTTTTAGAGAAAAAAAAAAAATCACTGAATGACAAGATTTTCTTTCATAATTTTTCTTTTATGTTTTTGTTAAGGGTACAAAGATGTTATATAATTTGTCCATCTTTATCGTATGGTATTTTGGCTGTGCTTGCACGCATCAATAACTCCATCGCTCAAGCTTGGTTGGAGGAAGCATGCACACTCATTAATTGAACTATGGAAGGATTTTATACACTCATTAAAAAAAAAAAACAACAACAACATTTTCAACATCAGCATATTCAAATAAATCAAAGTTATGTATACCGTATTTTCTCCTTCCTACAATCTTATTTGGAAACTCAATGAATTTGATTAGATGACACGTTTAAAAAAGTTATAATCATAATTAAGTATTATAATTTATATATAAAAATTTACTAAATAATTAATCAATAAATTAAAATATAATTAGATAATTTTAATATAAAATTAAATTAGACTTACATATAATTTTGAATTTAAAATTTTAAAATTCTAAAACATCATTCTTACCACTAAACCAAGATATTGTTGGCTTGGAATCCAATTATTGACAGAAACATATCGTTTACAATAATTTTAGTAAAATTAATCAATTATAATTTAAAATTATGTAAAATTTATCAAAATTTTTGCGAAATTTATATTTGCAAGTGGTTGATTTCTATATAATTTTTTATTGTAATTGAACAATTATAATATTCTAATAAAAAAATTATAAGTGATATGCTCCCATAATTAACACATCACAAAATTTCCATGCTCTCTACCTTTAAGGGATATCTTTATCATTTCATACTTTCCAAAAATTAGTAAAAGAAATTTTTATTTACACCTTTAAATTATTTTTCTCACCTAATTATTATTTTTATCCCAAATTTAAAATTTTAAAAATTAATTTTTATTTATTATACCCCTAATAACATTTTTTATTTTTTCTCAACACCCGTCACACCAATTTTCCTAATTCCCTATCCATTTTCAATTCAATCCAACCCTTTAAACCCTAACATAAAAATTATCATATAATCACAAGTTTTAAAATTAATCAAGTCACCAAATTTAAATTTAAAAATAAGTTATCTTTAATTTTGTTAGATTTTATTTAAATGTTGAATAAATTAAAATATAAAATGAGATATTGTACATGACATTATGAATTTAAAAAATCCGAATTCAAAAGCTTTTTTAACATTTTGAGAATATAAATCCGAAAAATTTTAAAAATTCGAAAATTCAACATAAGAAGTAAATATGTGTATAAAGACCAAAAAAGTAATTTATCCAAAGTTAATTAAATAATTTCATGTGTCCTGCTTAAGCCCAAATTGGTAATTTCGCAATATCTTTTCTTTTACATACTCAATTGCGATTTTGCCCTTTTTGCGTACCAAAAAAAGGTTTTAGCCCAAATCCTTCCACCCTGATTTCCACAAAAAATGGCGTTGAGAGCGGCGGCGACGACGGCGATGGCTGCTCAGGCTGCTCCATGGGGGATGATGCGGCTGTTCTCGACAACTTCACCTAATTCCTTTACGCCGCCGCCAATTGTGGCGATGGGGAACGGTGAGGGAACCCCTGGTCGAGAGCAAGCTCCTCCAAGTACCAACCTCTTTGTCTCCGGCACGTATCTTTTCTCCATCTATGCCTATCATATCTTTCATTTTTTTTTTTACCAATATCATATCCTTCATGTTTGCTCATGATCATTTTTGGTTTTTACTGGTTTTGTTTGTATGTTGGTTCATTGGTTTGGTGGCTGGGAAATTGTGGGAAAATGGAAGAAATAGTTGTTCTTTTTAATAGGGTTGATTTGATTGGTCCTGTTCTTTTCTGGGTTATTGGTAACTTTTGTTTATATGTTGATTAGTGGGTTGTTTTGCTTTTTTGATTACTGGGAAAATGTAGGAAAACGTGTCAAAAAGAAAAATAAAAAACCTGTTTTTTAAGAGTTTTCATGTAATTTGTCCTGTTCTTTTCTGAGTTATTAAAATTTTTTACTTATGCTGATTTATTGGGTTATTCAAAATGTGGGAAAATGGGAGAAAGTTTTGTGTCTTTTTGCTATGGTTTGATTAACTTGTCAAGAAATGAAACCCATGGTGGAATTGATATTTTCTATCTTTTTCATTCATTTAAAGAAATGGGAGGAAAAAAAAAAGATATTTGTGCTTTCTAATTTGTTTTTTGGTGCTTTCCCTTGATGCGAAGCAAAAAATTGTGAATTTTATTTTAAGAAGTATGAATTTCATATGCAAAGTGAACTGCATTGTTATTCAAGTAAGGGGAGTGTGAGTAGCAAATGAGAAAGTGAAACTATCACCTTGGTTGGAAGGAAGAAAGAAAAATGAAGGAATAGAAGATTGCCAACTTTTTTGGTAACGAGAAGGATTCGAATAAATTATATGAACTGATTTGGTTGTCGCAGGCTCAGAACTTAATATGCAGTATGCATAAGGATCAAAATAATTGGAGAGTATGATGTCAGGGTGTCATTTGATAAAAACTCACGTAGTCAATTGTAAAGTTGGCACAGTTCAGATTTCTTTTCTGGGCTAAAAGTTGTGGTGGCTAATTCTATTAATTGATTAGTTGACAAAGCTTGAGTGAAAGTGAGAGCTGTATTCTCGTATGCCATTGAAGCTCTTAAAAGTGTAATTTTTTCCAACTGAAGTAACATATTGTTTAGTCTAAAGTTTGTATGGCATGACTGTCTTACATTCATGTGAGACCCACATGCATGGATCTGACATGGATATGAGAGGGTTGTGATATATTGCCTTTATACTTAATGTCTTTTTGTTCATCCACCAAACATGTAACATTTAGTATTCCCTGTATCTTGTGTTAGTTTCATCATCCCTTTTATTTGAGCGACTAAACATTTAAGTTCCTTCATGATTCGATATTATAGTTGCATAAGACTATGTGTTTAAAAATGTGTTTTTTGACCTGAGTTGAATCAAGTTGCATTGGTAGAAAAGAACGAGATAGGTGATAGTCATATGCAAGGCATAATATAAGGGGCTAAGACGTGAGGTTTTTTTCAGAGAATTTGTATGGTAATAAAGTAGTACAAACTTACAAGCATAGATGATGGGCATGTTGTTAGTTTCTCTCTATACAAACTCTAATTTGTGGACAGTTGTTTCCCTTCCTTATTTTGTGGGAACTTATGCTCTTATTTCATGTCATTCTCTTACTAGGTCCTGTTCTCATCCTATATATATGTATGTCTTTGTGTTCTATGTCAGATCTTCGCAAAGAGCATTCTCATTTGTTCCACCTCCTTTCCTCATCCTTCCCTTCTTGTTGCATTTCGCTTGCCAGAGTAAATGTTCTGACAAGTTGGAATCGAGGAGAAATATTAGCTCAGGCTGCATTAATTAATTTGCAATTGGTTTTTGTATGCAGTGATTTCAGTTGAGCTGTGTTTGGTATTTGATTTTATTCATTTGATAAATAGAATGCATTGAAATGAAATATCAAAGTCTGCTTTTCTGAAAAACATGGTCACTATAAGTTAAGTCTGTTTTAGGCCCCTTTAGATTTGGTTTCTGTTTTCTAATACCTGTATAGCATTGAAGGGTATTTCATCAATCTAGAATTAATTTAGCATTATTAATTTGGGTCTAAAACCCCTCCTCTCCTTGTCTTGGTTTATGCTAGTAATTAAATTTCTGTGCACTTTTTCTATCATATATATTGACTAGGGTCACTTCTTGCCTTTCTTGGTTCATTTTATGATATCACTTATTATTTGAATTTGTTCTTAGGTCTTAGCAAACGCACTCCGGTAGAGAAACTTCGGGAAGCCTTTTCTCAGTTTGGACGGGTAGTTGATGGTTTGTCTCCCTCACCTAAGGATTATTGAAAATTGTCTTTTGGAAATTAACAACCACTGGTCATTTTTTTTTGGGTGTTTACAGCCAGAGTGGTGACTGATAGAGTATCGGGATATTCTAAGGGATTTGGTTTTGTAAGGTATGCCACCATAGAGGAGGCTGAGAAAGGAAGAGTGGGAATGGATGGCAAGGTGAGCTCCCTCTACTTCCTTAATGTTAATTTCCTTGAGGAATTTTTACGTGTCCATTCATCCATTTCCAGTGCTCATTGTATTGATTTAGAGTGTTAAGGTTATAATTATGATTGAAAGGATAATGATTGCTTCTGAAGGGAAATGTACCCTTAAAATATTTTTGAAATTAAATTTGTTATGCTTTTATAGAACTGTACCAGGTTACATCATTGAACCATCCATTGATGTTATTTTGTTTTACTTTTAAGCACGATGGTAGATTGTAGAAAGTCCTCTGATTGTGGTAACTAATTTCCTTTGTTTCGTTTTGGTTTTTTGCAGTTTCTCGATGGTTGGGTTATATTTGCAGAGTATGCAAGACCTCGGCCAGCACGTACTCCACCACAGAACAACATGACTAATTCAAATGGCGGCCAATGACTCGAATAGTTCTGCAACATGCTGTCTCATTTTCTGATCTTGATCAGAGACGGATTTACAATGGAGGCTGCCTATCATTTCTTGTATTATGTATGAAGTTTTTTAATATTAGACTTGAACTTACGTGCTATGATGTGATGAGCTGAGGTCTATTATTATTCAAGAACTTCAGGAAAAATAAGACTGAAAATTGAATCCGTTGAATTATTCTTCATTGAGTTTCTTGTCTACTGAGAACTCAATTGCATTATTTGGTTACTTCAGACTTTGAATGAATTATCAGTTTTTTTAAAATGTTATTGTTGTAACGGTTTTAGAGTTGTCTTACGAATTTGAAAATAAAATAAAAAATAAAAAAAACAAAAGACGTAATCGTCACTAATATTTTTTGATTAAGTACAATTGATCATTTATTAAAATTTATTTTTTTAATAAAATTTTTAAATTTTATTAAAATGATTATTTTAGGTTTACGAAACAGTTCGGATTTAAAAATTGATTATGTGTGAAAAAATATTAGTATTTTTATAACGTTTGTTTAAAATAATATCAATTAATTAGTGTTATTTATTGATATTGACAAAAATAATCTTAGTTTTGATGTGTAAAAAGTAATTTTTTTTGACTTCCTTTGTTTATTTTATTATTATTATTATTATATTTTATTCGAAAAAAATAAATTAAAATTTTTTATTAAAATAATTTTTAAAATGTTTTAGTATATTGATAATATTAGAATTTTTTTTTATCTAGAGATTTTTTAAACATCATTTTTTAAGATATCTTAAAATCTTATAATCGAAGATTCGTATTTATTTTCCATAAAAATGAACACATGTATGCAACACAAATAACAACATGTTGATGCATACATTTTATTTTACTTTTAAAAATTTTATTAGTTTTTTATTAGAATTTTTGAAGAAAGAATTTTTATCATAATGAAAATTTTTTATAAATACTTTAATATATTGGTAATATTTAAAAAAAAATATTCTCACTCAAAAATTTTGTAAAGCATCATTACTTGGAATATTTTTAGAATCTCATTATTAGATAAATGTTTTTCTCACTTTTTGTCATTTTATTTTAATAAATGAGTTAACTTTTATTTTATTTAATATTAAAAATTTTTTTTATTGTATTGAAATTTTTTTTATAAATATTCAAATACAGTTTTTTAAAAAAATCTTTTCACTTAGAAATTTTATAGATATCGCTATTCGAAGTACCTTTGAATCTCATCATCAGATAAAAATTTCATTTTCTTACGTTTTTACTAATTTTTTATTTATATTAATTATTTTTTGGTTTTTTTTACTATTTTTAATTTTTAATTTTAAAAATTTATCAAAAGTTAGAAACCATTTTTTTATTATTAATATCATAGTCATTAATTATTAATTATTTTTTTAATCATTATTTTATAAGGTTTATTTCAAATTTTAACAAAATTATCAAAGATTTCAACTATGTATTTCATTATTTTTTTTGTTTTTATTTTTACTAATTATTATTATAAAAACAACAAAAATTTATTCTAACAAATTTTAACATTTGATGTGCACAAATATTAATGATAAAAATTTAAAATAATAAAAATAATATTTAAAAAATAAATAAATAAATTTTAAATTTTTTTTATCCGAATCAGACCTGTTAACGGTCCGATCGACATTGGTTCAGACCAATTCAACTGGATTGATTAAAAGAAAATCGAGTCGCGTGTTGATTACGTGACCTTGAATCAGGTCGTGGGTCACGTGTGGATCCTGGGTTAGTGAAACGGCATCGTTTTGCTTTTTTTTTTTTAATTATAAAATTCAAATTCAAAATTTTATTTTTATTTTTAAATTCGTCGGACGACTCTAAAACTGTTATGATAGTTATTATTGTTAGGAAAATGGGATCCAGTCCCATGTAAGTGGTTTTGGACCAAGTAAAGGCCATGGGCCTTGATATTTTATTTTACACAGAGCCCTAACTACTTAATAAAAAAAGAGGTGGGGTTGTTTTAGGTGTGTGTCGAAAACCAAGCAAAGAAAGAAGAAAAGCCAGGAAAAGCAGAGAGAGAAAAAAAAAGGGAGAGTTGGTTGAACGGAAGTCAATCCGTGGTCCGATTAAGTTGGAACCTTGTCAGGAGGTTTATGATTAAGAGTTTTACATTCTGAACGGTGAAGATCGGGTTTGAAGCTCTCTAGGAATAAATTCAAGGTGTATTTGTTGAGTCACTTATTTGGTGAGATTTCTCCAATTGTTTCTCTAGTTGTTGATTAGCTCTAGTTTTAGCTAGAGAAGAACTTTGTATAACTATTATTTGATAGTGAAGATTTTTCTGGTGGCCCGTGGTTTTTTTCCTCTACACTGGAGGGTTTTCCACGTAAATCTTGGTGTGCTTTATTTTTCCTGCGTATTTGATTATTGATTGTTGTCTATTGCTTCTGTATTGTTGTGATTATTGCTTCAGGCGCAACAAGTGGTATCAGAGCGAGGGTTATTTTGAGACATCGATACAGAAGCAACTCAGGATAGAAGTAAATTCTGTTTGAGATCATGGAGGGTGATACAGGTTCCATGATAAAATTGACAGCATCGAATTATTCAATTTGGAAGCCTATGATGGAGGATCATCTATACTGCAAAGATTTGTATGAGCCAGTATTGGGAGATTCGGCTAAACCAACGGATATGAAAGATGAAAGCTGGAAGAAGCTAGGTAGAAAAACGCTGGCTACAATAAAAAAATGGGTTGATATCAGTGTATTTCATCATGTAGCGCAGGAATCAGATGCTCACATTGTTTAGGAAAAATTGGCTACATTGTATGAGAGAAAAATAGGTATGAATAAAGTTATGCTTGTTAAAAAGATTACAACTTTACAGTACATGGATGGATGATCTGTTACAGAGCACTTGAGTGATTTTTAAGATATATTTAATCGAATGACTACTATGGAGCCTAAGATGGATGATGAAATGAAGGCATTATTTCTTTTGGATTCATTGTCAGACAGCTGGAATACTCTAGTTGTGACTGTTCTTAATTCAGCTCCTGATTATAAGGTGACATTGGAGATGGTAAAGGACAATATACTTAATGAAGAAGCGAGGTGAAAAGATGTAGACCATGGGAATCAAACTCTAGTCACAGAGAATAGGGGTAGAAACATCGACAGAGGTCAGGACTCAAAAAGTCGTGGTAAGTCTAAACATAGATCCAAATCTAGAGGTAAAGTGAAGTGTTTCCATTGTGGTAAGACGGGTCATATAAAACGAAACTGTAGAATCTTAAAGCAAGAGCGAAAAGATGAGAAAGGTAAGAGTTCAGATGATGGCAATGTTGCAGCAGTGAATTCAGATAGTGATTCAGTTACTTTGATTTGTACACATGGTGATTGTAATCATGTTAGTGATCCCGACATTGAGTGGATAGTTGACACAGGAGCGGCATATCATTGTGTTCTTAAGAGAGAGTTGTTTACAACTTACAAAGCAGAAAACTTTAGTTGTACGAAGATGGGAAACAAGAGTGTGTCGTAGATTGTTGGGATTGGTGATATTATTGTACAAACTAGTATAGGCTGCATGTTGACTTTGAGGGATGTTAGACACATTTCAGATATGAGAATGAACTTGCTTGCTATTAATGTCCTTGATAAGGAGGGATATGAAAGTCGACAAAAGAATGGACAGTGAAAGCTTCTCAAAAGATCTATGGTAGTTGCAAGGGGAAAACTATGCTGCACAATGTATAAGACATGGATGCAATTGAACGGTAACCAAGTAAATACCGTTGAAAATGATGCTTCAGCAAACTTGTGGCACAGGAGGCTGGCACACATGAGTGAAAAGGGGTTATAGGTTTTGGCAAGGCACTTTCTCATTCCCTTGACCAAAGGTATATCTCTCGATTCATGTGATTATTGTTTGTTTGGTAAGCATCATAGAGTTTCTTTTCGTAAAAGTTCTTAGAGAAAAGAAAATAGATTGAAATTAATTTATTCTGACGTATGTGGTCCCGTTGAGGTTAAGTCATTAGGTGGTAGCAGATATTTTGTTACTTTTATTGATGATGCTTCACGTAAGACTTGGGTGTATATGTTGAAATATAAAAGTCAGGTACTACAGTATTTTTAAAAATTTCATACCATGGTTGAAAGGATGACAGGGTTACCCTTGAAGTGTATTCGAACTGATAATGGTGGAAAATACACATCTAAAGGCTTTGAAGAGTATTGCTCAAAGCATGAGATTGAGCATAAAAGGACAGAACCTGGAACACCGCAGCATAATGGTATAGCTGAAAGAATGAATCGCACCATTGTGGAAAAAGTCAGATGTATGTTGAGGATGGCAAAATTACCAAAGCCATTTTGGGGTGAAGTAGTCAACACAGCTTGTTATTTACTTAACAGGTCACCATCAGTTCCTTTGGGCTTTAACATTCCAGAAAGAGTGTGGACAGGAAAAGATACTTCATACTCTCACTTGAAAGTTTTTTGGTGTAAAGCATTCATGCATGTGCCAAAAGAGCAGAGGTCAAAGCTTGACAGTAAAGCTACACAGTGTGTGTTTGTAGGATATGGTGATGAAGAATTTGGTTACAGGGTATGGGATTCAGTAAAGAGAAAGACAGTCAGAAGCAGAGATGTGGTCTTTCATGAAAAAGAAACCATAGCAGACCTTGAGAAAAATGAGAAGACTACATGAGTTACTGTTAAGTGTGATGTTTCAACACCGACAGAGATTTCACAGGAAAGAGTCACAGATGGTAAAAATGAGCCAGAAACAGAACTTGGGGATATGAATAAGCCAGCCACAGTTGGTGATGAGCCAGATGCTATTAGTTTTGAGCAGAGGGAGCAATCCTCTTTACCTGAGAGTGTTGAGTAGGGGGAGCTACCTTCAGCATCAATTGATGTAGAGTCTCAACCCAGGAGATCTACTAGAGAGCGCAGGCCATCTACCAGGTATCGAAGTTCAGATTTTATTTTAGTTACCAGTGAAAGGGAGCCAGAAAGCTTTCAAGATGTATAGGCTACTCCGGATAGAGAGTACTGATTAAAAGTAATGAAAGAAGAGATGTAGTCATTGCGAAAGAATGGTACTTATGATCTTGTTAAACTTCCAACAGGGAAGAGGCCATTAAAGAATAAATGGGTGTTCAAGTTGAAAAAAGATGGTGACAAACTAGTGAGGTACAAAGCTCGATTGGTAGTAAAAGGTTTTTCTCAGAAATCAGGCATCGATTTTGATGAGATTTTTGCTCCAGTTGTAAATATGAGTTCTATTCGAGTGGTACTGGGATTGGCAGCTAGTTTGAATCTTGAACTTGAGCAACTTGATGTTAAAACTACTTTTTGCATGGTGATTTACAGGAGGACATTTATATGAATCAGCCTGAGGGTTTTGAAGTGAAAGGGAAAGAGCACTTAGTTTGCAAATTGAAGAAAAACTTGTATGGCTTGAAACAAGCTCCGCGACAGTGGTACAAGAACTTTGATTCTTTTATGGTGAGTCATAACTATAAAAGAACAGCAGCGGATTCTTGTGTGTATGTTAAACAATTTTCTAATGGTAACTTCATTATCGTATTATTATATGTTGATGATATGTTGATTGTAGGACAAGATGCTAGTATGGTTTGCAGGTTGAAAGAACAATTGTCTAAGTCCTTTGATATAAAAGATTTAGGTCCAGCAAAACAGATTCTTGATATGGACATTATCCGGGATAGGAGAGCTGGAAAGCTGTAGTTGTCACAGGAAAAGTATGTTGAACAAGTGCTTGGTAGATTCAACATGAAACATGCTAAATCAGTTAGCAGTTCACTTGCCAACCATTTTCATCTAAGTAAGAAATCTTGTCCAGTGTCTAAGGAAGACCAACTAGCTATGTCTAGTATTCCTTATTCTTCTGCAGTCGGTTCTTTAATGTATCTTATGGTTTGTACAAGGCCTGACATTGCTCATGCAGTTGGTGTAGTGAGCAGATTTCTTTCTAATCCAGGGAAGGTTCACTGGGAAGCAGTGAAATAGATTTTTAGATATTTGAGGGGTACCTAAAAAATGTGCTTGACTTATGGAGTTTCACAACCAGTTCTAGAAGGGTTTACTGATGCTGAAATGGCATGCGATCTTGATGGTAGGAAATCTACTTTAGGGTATTTATTCACTTTTACAGAAGGAGCTGTATCTTGGCAGTCTAAGTTACAGAAGTGTGTTGCTTTGTCAACTACAGAAGCTGAGTATATTGCAGCAACTGAAGCATGTAAAGAAATGCTTTGGATGAAACATTTTTTTCTTGAATTGGGGTTGAATCAGAAAGAGTATGTGGTATTTTGTGATAGCCAGAGTGCTTTAGATTTGAGTAAAAATACCATGTACCATGCTAGAACAATGCACATTGATGTTAGATATCATTGGTTACGTTCAGTGATTGAAGAACAACAGATGTTATTGAAGAAAGTCCATACTGATAAGAATGTAACAGATATGTTGACTAAGATACTTCCCAGGGAAAAGCTTGAGCTTTGCAGTAACTTGGCTGGAATGAGTTCCCTGGCCAAGGTAAGTTCCAAATGAAATTGCTATGGTGATGAATCTCCTTCTAATGGGACTGGAGGGGGAGATTGTTAGGAAAATGGGGTCCAGTCCCATGTAAGTGGTTTTGGACCAAGTAAAGGCCATGGGTCTTAATCTTTTATTTTACACAGAGCCCTAGCTACTTAATAAAAAAAGAGGTGGGGTTGTTTTAGGTGTGTGTAAAAAACCAAGCAGAGAAAGAAGAAAAGCCAGGAAAAGCAGAGAGAGAAAAAGGAGAAGGGAGAGTTGGTTGAACGGAAGTCAATCCGTGGTCCGATTGAGTTGAAACCTTGTCAAGAGGTTTATGATTCAGAGTTCTACATTCTGAACGGTGAAGATCGGGTTTGAAGCTCTCTAGGAATAAATTCAGGATGTATTTGTTGAGTCACTTATTTGGTGAGATTTCTCCAATTGTTTCTCTAGTTGTTGATTAGCTCTAGTTTTAGCTAGAGAAGAACTTTGTATAACTATTATTTGATAGTGAAGATTTTTCTGGTGGCCCGTGATTTTTTCCCTCTACACTGGAGGGTTTTTCACGTAAATCTTGGTGTGCTTTATTTTTCCTGCGTATTTGATTATTGATTGCTGTCTATTGCTTCTGTATTATTATGATTATTGCTTCAGGCGCAACAATTATCGTATATAAATGCATTTGTTTATACTTCACAAATGTCATATTTATATGTATTATACATGTACAACCATCTTATTTTTTTAAATTGAAATTGAGATAACATGATACATAATATGTCTCATAAATGATTGTGATCGAGGAAGGATTCTCATCAAAATTCATTTTATTTCATCTAGAAAAATTAGGTTTAAGTTGGTGAAGCATTAATGGATAATTTGGAATCTTGATTAGGTAACCAAAGTGAACATATTGATCTTTTCCAATAGCAAGGAGATGTAAGAACAAATCTTTGTCCAAAAATAAATAATCCTAAACTCATCAATTCTGCTGTAAATCACAGTCATCAACATTTCATAATTCCTACTCCATCTGCAATTAATGGTCATTTTCTTCTTCAACTGTCACTCTTTGTAGTGTTGCTCACGACATTAGACGTCTGGATGAAGCTGAATACAGCGACTGCATATTAATTTCTACGCAGATGGCTTACCTGCAGGATCAATTGCTATGAAAAATGAAAAAGACTTTGTGGTCCTTATGTTACTTGGACTCGAAAGTGAGTGTTGAGATCCTGTTTAACACAAATACGTACATTTTTTTAATTTTTTTCATATATTTAATGGTTTGGATTTTCATATTTTTCATACATTTAATGGTTCAGATTTTCATACTCATATTCATTGAATATGTATCAAACATGGGTCGTCCAAGGAAAATGAAAAGTCTGCGCCCCGGGAAGTTGCCAATTTCTATTCCCATGCACATTATTTTCTCAGCAACCCAATAATTATACGGCACCTGCCTTGTTTTCCAAGCAAGGGAACAGAATTTTATAACCTTCATTGAAAATAACTTGACACATCGATTTTTTCTTTTTTTAAACCTTGTGATCTGCATCAGACAAAAAGATGGTTAGGAAAATTGATGGAAACTTTGGGGTGTGTGGAGGATATTTTCTGGAGACAGAATTTAAAGCAACTTCGTTTCTCAGCAACATTTGTTTAGTAATTTTCAGTGCATCAAAGGCTCTCCGGTGTTGTCAAATTCAAAGGTTTTGATTAGTTGTTTTCTTTGGGTATTGAATCAGCAAAAGAAAGAATTCTTGAGAGAGAAAATTAGATATCAAGAATTTAATTTTGTTAGAAATGTGGATTTTTTCATATTCAACATATAAAATAGAAATTAATTAAACCAAAAAAAGAAAAAAATGTGGTGTAGATGAATTTGTTCTACTCCATGAAAGGAATAGAACATAATTCTTGTTACATCTATTCTGTTGTCAATAAAATAGAATAAAATGTATAATATATCTTACATTTTTAATAAATTTAAAAATTTTGCGGTAAGTGAATATGATAATTTCTTTTAATAAATTCATTTTTTATATATTGACAATGAATTTTTTTTAAATGATCTAATAAAAATTAAATATAAAATAATTTAAACTTAAAAATACTCGAATCAAAATATTTTGCTTACCACCTCTAGCTACTTTTAATTATGGAACGAACCAATTGCTAGAGGTGACTTGGTATATGACAAATTAATTTTATAACTTGATGGTGATAAAATTGACAACTTCATTGTTGATGCATTAATAATATGTCCAAATGTTGTGAATTTCATAGTGTATTTGTCATTTGTCAAAGTGTTATTTGTTGGTTTTGTATAGATGAAATTGATGTTTCTCAAAAGATTACAAAATAATAATAATAATAATAATAATAATAAAGAAAAAAAAGGTCAACATGCAAGTAATTTCTCGAGTTTTTGACAATTGACTTTTTTTTTATGGGAAGAAAATTTTTAAAGGATTATGACTCATCATTTGCTTGTAATTACTTTTGGAGTAAAAGAAAAAAAAACATTCTTTTTTTCACTTTGATTATTAAACAAAATGTATGAAAAATAAATTTAAACACGCCAACGTTTTCAAAATGTGTTGATTGGAATAACTTCTATCAAGGGATTTGGGACATTTAATCATTTCTTACCTAAGGTTTAATCATCTGTAAATTAACATTTTTTTTCATTTTCGATGGAAGAAACCCACATTGATTTGCAATAAAATAAATAAGAATTGTCTAAATAAAAATTAAATTATTTATACGCAAAGTTAAAAATAGAGTTCATTTTTAATATATATAAACATATTTTATTAAAACTCTTATTAATCTTTTAATTAAAATTTAAAAATTTCATCATCAATATTGGAAACAAAATTTTTTAAATATATATTTAATATATAACATGCCTCGAATTTGAGTTATAAGAATCCTTCACATCCCTTTCTCAAAAAAAAAAAAAAAAATCCTTCACATCCCTCATTAAATTCTTGGCCCACCCATATATATTTTAACTATTTAAACAATATAATCAATATTAAAAAATAAAAAATAATTTTGAGCGAAGACTCAAAAATCAGAATTAAGGCCACCACGCAATCATCCAAGGCAGCTCCACGGCATTTCCCATAATAAACTCCCAAAACGAGGGGCAAACTTGTACTTTAGTTTTTAACATAAATCCATATCCGTCAACACTATAAAGTAGACCATACTCAAAAACTCTATCACATGTGAGAAGAAAAAGAGAAATGAGACTCCAATGGCTCTTACTCTAAATCTTCTTAACCTTAGTTTTGTTTTTTTTATTCATAGTTTTTTTTCTTGGCACGTATAATTATAACGTGCAGAGTTATAGATATCGATACATATATATAATTAATTAATTAATTGAAAATTTTATTTGTGAATATAAATTGATATAGCAATGAGATCTTTTCTGGAGTTTGTGTCATGTTGTGTTACAACGCCTGAAGTGTCTGTGAAGGAGCAGGTGGTGACAGCGGGGACAGCTCCAAGGAAGGAGGAGACAAGGTCTTTGATGCCTACAAAAGTGGCTGCTCTAAGGAAGAAGAAGAAGAGAGTAAGGGTAGGGACACCAGGGTCTTTGACGCCAGAGTGGAAGCCCTCATTGTTTGTGATCTCAGAGGATAAGGTTACGGCAGAGAAGAGAGAGAAAACACCACCCCAAGCGGCGACGGCAACGGTGGATAGGGTGGTGAAGAGGAAGAGCACCACGGGGTCACGCTCCAAAGTTCATGTTCGAAGCTATAGCGACGACATAGGGTAATTGAATTTTCTTTTGTTTTTGTTTTTATTAATTTTTAGGTTAAAAATTTTCTCAAACATTATCTTTTTCTTTTTAATTTTTGTGGTGAAGAATAATAATAAAATATTATAAAAATTAATGAGTTAATAACTTTTTTTATATGAAAAAGAGTGAAGGAAACTCGATTTGGTGTGGTTATTTACTAATTAGTTGCTATGTCAACGTCGGGAAAGATATTTTTAGTGACAAATTGATTTTCTTTATGTTAATTGATGAGAAGAAAATGAAATGATAGAAAAAAAAAAGGAAAATTAACAAAAGTAGGTTGAAGTAAAAGAATTAATTAAAAAATTTGCTCTAATCCTTTATAAATACATCAATAAGTGAATTAAATAAAATGTTGATCTTTAAATTTTATTGAAAAAAAAACACGAATTCATTTTCTTTGAGATTTCCATTGTCAATTTTCATTAGTAGCTTACAATAAATTACATACACAACAAAACAATACCATGTTTGGTTTTCAGAACTTAGAGAAGTTTAAAGTTAAACTGAACACTTGTTTCGGTGAAATTTGCAGGCGAAATTCGGTGCAAGTGGTCATTCCAGCGTTTTCCCCTACTCCTTTCATGTTTTGATAATAATCTTTTATATACATATTGTACAAATTATTTGTAGGAATAAAAATTCTTGTAAATCTGCAACTATTGCAATCAAATAGGGCAAAGCAATTTGTCTTGGTGAAAAAAAAATGTTACCCTAACTAACATTAACAACACTAATGTAGCAATGTTTGTCACTAGAATATATATATATATATATATATATATATGTATATGGAAAAATTCAGGTTTGTATATCAGATAACAAATACTATCCTTTGAAAGTGCAGAAGCATAAAAACCAGCAACAGATAATAAGATTACAGAAAGGAAAGGAACATTAAACAGTCTCAAAGTATGTGTAATTTACACTATGGACAAACTGTTTAGGCCTCAAGTTCTATTTCTGCTTGACCAATGACTTTTTCTCTAAAAGAGAAATTTTGGTCATTCTGAGTCTGTTGCATATATTAGCAGTTGTTTGATGATAAAAAAGCCGCGAAAATCCCATTATGTGAAGTTTAGATGCTCGATGATGTAATGAAGCTGTGTGACAAACATTGAAAAAGTTACTTTCAGGCAACTATCCAAGCTCTCTCTCCTTCTTCCATTCCTGTCATTGTGTCATACAATGGCTTATTCAGCGTCTCTGGTAAGTAATATGCAAGCATCCCTCCAATCAATCCAGATACCCCAAACACTAGAAATGGAAAGCCACCACCCAAAACCACAACAAATGGTGCCAAAATAGCTCCCATTTGGGCGGCCTGAGTTGCACATCCAAGGGCTGCATTTCTCACCACTGTAGGAAAGAGCTCAGCTGTGTAGATAAACAACAGATTATAAGTTCCAGCCATGCCAAATATCCCCAGAATCCCACAGCACATTCTTATTGCTTTCCATATTCCAACATTTCCCATCAGGGAACCCATAAAGCAAAAGATTGCAGTAAACCATTGTGTCCCAATTGCCAATGGCTTCCTCCCAAATTTATCCAACAGAAGTGCTGTTATTGTGAATGCTGGCATTTCAGCTACGGCGTTAAGTAGCACATTGAGGTAAAGGTTTGTCTCAAGGTTGACAACATTTAAGCTAAGGCCATAGTACACAACAGAGCAAGTGAAGTTGATTCCTACTGCTAGAAACAGTCGGAAACGAGTGATTGGTGATTGAACTACATCTACAACAGAACCAGTGATTGCCTCTTTTTTCATTGTTGCTTCTTTGCAACTCTGGTTATCATTTGAAGCATCATTAGCTTCATCATCCAGTGCAAGGATAACCCCATCAGGAAGGTGATTTCCGTTAGACTTGGCTATGGTGCGCATAATTTTCATTGCTTCATTCATTTTCCCACGGACAAGGTACCAACGTGGGGACTCGGAGATAAAAGGAATAACCAGAACAAGGAAAAGGATAGAGGGAATGGAGGAGGCAATATAAAGAGCACGCCACGCAGGAAAAATGTAAGCTATGCCTGAGAGTAATGCTATTCCACTTGAAAAGAAATAGAATGTGGACATTCCAGCAGCACCACGCTTTGTTGGGCCAACAGGTTCAGTGGACAGGACAAAGGAGCACAGGCCAACGCCTCCGGTGCTGAATCCTGTTAGGAAGCGGAGTAGGAGATATGTGAAATAGTTTGGGGCTGATGATGTAAGGCAACCAAAGATGGCATTTAAGATACAAACTGCCGTTAAGGAGCCTTTTCTTCCCAGTTTTGAGTCTGATAGATGACCAAATATTCCTGCACCTGAAAATGTGTGTCAAAAAATTGAATTTTAGTCATGAATTTAATCATCAGAAGATTCTTACAACAAAGTAAGTTCTTGCATTCAATGCATTAATGATGAGTGATTCTTTACACTGATAAAGACATTGAAATGTAATGGTAGGATTCCACCCCCACAATCTGATATGTGCTATACACTAGCAAATTAAGCGTTTTCCTTGTTCCTTTAAGTGCTTAATTTCCTAGTTATTATAATTCTGTATGGTTGAACAAAGAACTGATCCAAAAGAGAATTTTGATGGTGAAGTTGGTGGTCTCCATGCCTCCCTGGCACAACAATCATGACTTCAACATTCCAGAAGGAGAACTGGCTTGAGTAAGTGTTGGACTACTCATTAAATTAAAGAGTAGACGATGTAGGTTGAAGAGAAAAAAATATAAAGGCAACAAAAAGAGAAAAAAGGGATGACACTTTTTCTCAACAAAGTAAAAGATATAAAGGTGATGATAGGACACTAACTCTCACATGATCAACCAAGTTTGAGAAAGTAGAACTTTCATGTTCCTGTACTTTAGCTTTAAACTTGATCATGAAGTGGTTTTTTCCCCTTGAAAATATGCCCATCAAATGCCCAAAATGTCAAAAATGTCTTTGGTTAGAATTGCTTGATTTCACATTGAGCAGAAATGAAAAAGTCTCACAAATGGAACAAAGACAGAGATCAATATGGTAATTTTCAATTGCAGTTTCAGGACAATAAAAGAAAATAACAAAAAAGTCTGCTAATTATTAGTTCTGGATTTTTTTTTCTTTATGGGATCATGCTTGTATCACTGTTCCTATCCTAGTCCTCCAGGAGACGCGGTTGATTTGGTTAGAATTGCTTGATTTCACATTGAGCAGAAATGAAAAAGTCTCACAAATGGAACAAAGACAGAGATCAATATGGTAATTTTCAATTGCAGTTTCAGGACAATAAAAGAAAATAACAAAAAAGTCTGCTAATTATTAGTTCTGGATTTTTTTTTCTTTATGGGATCATGCTTGTATCACTGTTCCTATCCTAGTCCTCCAGGAGACGCGGTTGATTTTCCACCGTCGTCATAGTACTATTAAATAAGGGCTGCACCTTTCCTCTTTTGTTTTCTAGCAATTATTTGTGGGAAAGAATTGTTTCAGGACAACAATGATTAATAGTAAGTTCAGAATTCAACATTGGAAGTCTATTTTGAGATGAATCCTATCAATATTACAGTTAACTTTTTGCAGAAATAAAAAAGAATGAAATTAAGTGTGTCAGAAAAGTCATATACATCAGCATTTAATGTTAAAAAAGAAGTTAAAAGCATCCCAAAAAGTTGGAATGGAAAATCAATAAAGAAAAAGCCGAATCAACAAAGTCAAGGTGATGTTTCAAGAAACTGATGATAATAATTAATTTACGGACCACAAGAAAATGACTTAAAACCAAGCTACACTTTGTCCATTTTGATCAGTAGCATGACTTTTGATTTTCCAATTTTCTATTTCTCACATACGCACAAGATGTACCAAACATAAAGCATGTGGCCCGACAAGAGAAGCTTCAAGTGGCAAACAACAATCTGAACCGTAGAAAAAAACAACCAATTCTTTGCACATAAAACAATGTGACCCTGATAGGAGAAGCTTCAAGTGGCAAATAACAATCTGAATCATAGAAAAAACAGCCAATTCTTTGCCTGTTATGTAGTATCTTCATTCTCCAGCTATAAATAACTTACATTATCCCCTCTTGACCTTCATATTTCTTGTCTCGTAATATGCACCAAATGATCATCATTACAAATTACTATTCTTTTAGAAATTAGTAAAAAACAAGTCTGGTTCTTGTTAAAGGAAACGTATTTTAGGAACATATAACAGGTTTTACTGTGATGGAAACCAGGTGCAATAATGTATAATTTATGGACCTGAAGAGATTAGTCTAAGATAAAAACCTGAAGAAGGAGTGTGCAAAATCGTTGCAGAAAGGAGATTAGTCTAAGATAAAACCTGAAGAGATCCGTATTAAAAGAAAAATAGAACATTAAACCTGACAACTAGAAAATATAGTGAAGAGAAAAAAAAAAATCCAACAGATAACAAGATCAGCAACAACACAACCAAAAAAAAAAAAAAAGAGAAAGATCAGCTGGAAACAACTCACCAATCATGCAGCCGCCAAAAAACAAGGCTTGAACAAGCCCAACCTTATACTTATCCCCACAAACCAATCCCCACTGAGCGACGGTGGAGCTTCCTGAACCACCTTTCCATTCCCAAGACCCTGGTTCAAGCCCACAAACACTTTTCTCCTCATCACACGCTGACCCTGACCCTTTTGTACACCGCCAAGCAGGTTCCTGGTCCGCAAATATCATGACCATGGTGTGGAAAGCTTCTAGAGCCCATGCGAGGCTTGTTAAAACAAAGTGTCTCAATTGCCAGGACCCGAATTCTCCGCAGTATTTTTGTAACATGTCGTCTATGCAAAGCTTATGGGGTTCGGATCCGGGTCCGGATTCCCATCCGGAATCTTTGGATGGAAGGAGTAAGGGTGACTCCAATAAGGAGCCATGGCTACTGGGATCCGATCCTGGCAAGGTAGCCATAACTACGGTGTGTTTGTCTCTCTAGTTTTTCCTGGTTACCTACGAAATTAGTGGTTTTTATTCGTATGAACTCTATGTATAGGGAAGTTCCCTACCTTGGTTTGTGACTAGGTGTAATGATTTGTGGGTTTGACAGGTGGAGTTTGATCTAATCATTGATTGGGGAAGATGACACATGCAAAGAAGGGTAGCTGTTGATGTGTAATTGGGAATACACTGTATTTTTTTCCTATATAGAAAGTGTTTATTAGGACATTTTGGCTAGCCACATACCAAAAATTAGGACATTAAATACCAAAAATTGTTACTGCCAGTTCAAAAAGAGGTCAGGAGATTTTAATATTATTTTAATTTTCATGTATTTGTCTGATACAAAGATTAAGTGTTGAAGAGGTTGATGAAAAGATAAATTGTCTCACTATTTCGTCAGTACATAAGTGAGAACATGCTTTGAATTTTTAAAATCAGCTTTTGACATCCAGCCGGCAAATTAAAAAGCGATTGCAAATTGTTACGAGAGTTCAAGATAAAGTGAAATTTCTTTTGTTTATTAAACAAGGTAAATCATGAAAATCCACATTCATGTACGAAAAAAAAATTCACTTTCAAAATCATTATCTTAAAGGAAGATAATATTAGTTTAGTTGACTAAGATTGACACGTTGGGAGGTGATGTGACATTTATTTGGTATATTCCAAACTTCTCGACTAGATTCAATTGAATAATTTTTTTTTTTATTTGGATGAAATTTAATTGGTAGTGATAAAGCAATGAAACTGAAATATGAAGTTTCAAGTCCCTTTCATGAAATAGAGTTACGGATACGTTTCATTTATGAACTTCTGAAACAGTAGTGCGTGGTACATTTATTATGAAGCACGCAAGATTTTGTCCTAACATTCATAATTTTCTTTTTTTTTTTTTAATTTCTAAACTGTGATACTTTATGTTAAAAACAAAAACCAGCTGTCGTGCTGGCAAGCTACTTTGTCACGAGTTCGACTATACATGATTTATTTCTCATGTGATTATAATAAAATTCAGAACGAAATGTAAGTTTTCAAATCAAGATCTTGATACTAAATTATGAAAAGGAGAAGTAGAAATGTCCTCATAACTCATTAATTATAATTGTGATAAGCAAAAATTGACATAAAAATTATATTAAATTTGATAATTTAAAATACAATATGATAATATAATATGAAAATAATATGAATAAAATATTATTTAAAATTTTAAAAAAATAAATAAGTTTAATAAAATAAAAAAATTATATTTTATATTTTCATAAATTATGATTCATAATTTTCATATAAAATATGATAAAATATAATATTTTATATGATAAGATAACATAAATTATTATATTTAAATCATATTCCTTTCGGTTTGTTGAAAAGTGTTATTAATTCTATTCATTTCGGGACTCAATCCTTTAATTAATAGAATTCAATATCATCCTCTTTGACCGTGATACAATAGTTTTTTGGATTAGGCTCAAATCTAACTCTATCTTCTAATCAAATGCTAATCTTGGCACTGAAGACCTATATATTATGCATTGTGGCATTGAAACATTGGATTTTGCGAAGTATCTCATTGATTTATAACGAGGACACTTATTCAATTACAAATAACTTGAAAAATGAGGAACTTGATATTTTCCATTCTGGAATAATGCTTACTTTAATTGCTTAACTCTCTTATTAAAAAAAAAAAAAAAGAAATTTTGAGAATAGATGTTTAATTAGCTAAATAAACTTTAGGCAAAACCCATTAGCTAAAGTAAAAACTTATTTACAGAACAAAAAAGGTTTATGGGCCAATGGAAAACCCATTTCCAAACTAATTACCCATAAAACATTGTTATTCTAAAGCCCATATTTGTAAAGGTCAACAAAAATATTGTCCAGTAAACCCAAAGGCCCAATTTTCAACTTCCTAGAGCTACCCGTCTCTTTGCTAGCTTGGGCCAAGTAATAGTAGCAACTGGCAAAGACAATTCTGTATCTGAAATTTCTTTATTCATGCTTGTTCAAACTAAGATTCTGAGACTGAATTATAGAAAGGAGAAGTAGTCCCCAAAACCCATTAATTGCAATTAGGAGGAGCAAAGGTTGGCACAAAGGTCATTTTCCTGGGAGAAGATCCTCTCCACTGTTTAAAAATCAATGAAAGTTTTTACTATTTCATCTAAAGATGATAAATACACTTTCAACTAAGTATATGGTGAATATTTGTTTAAATTATTTTTATTTTTTAAATTAATTTTTAAATTTTATATTTAATTTAAAATTATGAAATTTCAACCATAAATTTAGTTTGAAATATATTTATTGTCTTTAGATGAAATACTAGAAATACACATCGGTCCCACTTACTTAAAAAGATAAAAGAAATTAAACATATATAGAATGACACAAAGTGCAATACATTTCTAATATTAGAAAGAGAAAATCACTCTGAGAATGAATTGTTTTTATCTCATATATAACACCAAAAGATTTCAATTCTTGGGCAGCTCGGGCAATTTGTTCTTTTAGTTTCTTATTTATTTATTCTATATGTAAATTCTTGAATCTTCAAAGTGGGATTGGATCAATAAGCAATGAAGTGATTCCGCACTTGACAACATTCCAACGTGTGTTACCCATCTCCATCCTTGTAGAGGGAAATCCATCACCTGCAAGGTGAGAATCCGTGTGAGGATAGGCATTGGGGACCCAAGGTGTCGGCCTAAGTACCAACTCCTGGTTTATATCCTTCCAAGCATTCTCAATTTGCTTGTTCAACTCACTGCATGCATTTTCTTCTGAAACTCCATGCTGCTTCATGTAGCATTCAACGGCCGATGCAACATGCCCTCTCTCCTGCTCAAACTGCATAATCATAATATTTTTAAATAAATATATGGGAAAATTAATTCTTATAATACTTTGCACCAATTAGAAGCTTTAATTTCTCACAATTCTATTTGATTGCCAATGATAAAATGCATGATTTTATTCTTATTCATTAATTATGATAGAAAATACGTTATACTAGTTTTTTTTTTTTCATATTAAGCAATGTCGAGAAAAGTAAAAAATAAATAACACATAGTCAATTAATTATGTGATTTGTCAAAAAAGTGTTAAAACTTTTAATTTTATTTTTGATCATTTCAAATATAAAAATTGATATAAAAGAAAAAGATAGATACATGATGCAACTTGTGTGAACCAATATCGTCCATGAGACGGGCAATTACTGAAGAAGCTTTAATGATTTTAGGGTTGCTAGATGCCCAATCAAATATCTCTTTTGTCACAATGTCTCCCATTCCAACAAAAGATGTGATAGCAAACATGATGTAGCCAGCAGATACTAATCCATTTATCATGTATTCCTCCACCGATGGTACGTAGTTTTCATGGTACCATTTGGCCTCAACGAAATACGATTGCGATAATTGTTTCATCTGAGAAATGAAAAGGCCAAGGAATCTATATTATTATCAGCTTGTGGTCCAAATAATTTTTCATGTAAGATTCTCTTTTTAATTTTTTTTGTCATTTTAAACGATATTTTTTGGGCAAACGAGAGGGAAGTGTGCGGTGGTCTTTTACTATTTATATGTAGTTTCACCTTTGAATTGAACGAATTTATCTCATGAAAACTGTAAATGAGAAAGTGGTTTAGTGTGAATTTACTGCTTCTTTCGCATATTGGACAGGGTATAATTTTCCTTGCTTTGTCATCACTTCTTCCATTTCTTCATAAACATCTAAGAGGGCCTTGTAGAAGATTCTCATGTATGCTGGGAGTTGATCTATACAGTCAGTATCCCACCTGGAATACAAATTATGGATTAATAAAATAAAAAATTCAACCAAATTCTACTATATAGTCAATAATTTGAAGATATACATTGCTTAATTACCTCTCAATTGCATTTGTAAGGAGTTCCAGTTCTTCAAATGTGCCATGTACATCATATATGTCATCCATAGCTGACGCTATGACTATTGCTTTTGTCAATATCTGTCTAGCAAAGGAGTATTAAGGCTCAAAGTATGCTCCCAATATCCAAAAGTAACCTTCAACCAATCTATCTCGTGCAAATGGCAGTTTTCCAGGAAAATCTAAATCTTTATACCACCTGAAATAAAACAATTAGCCCAAGTATTGCATACTGTTCGGTTCTCAGAAGTTGGTAAGGTTCGAAATCTGATTGTTCAGCATTCTACCAACAGCTTACATCGCTGTTGACAACAATTTCATATAGAAGCATTAAGGAGTAATTACCTAGAGATCTTGCTTAGCTCTCCCTTGTGCAAATTTTGTAATAAGTTGAAATCCAACTTTGCAAAATTTAGTAACGTTTTGTCATGTGAACCATCTTCTTGATATATAGAAATGTATCGCCTAGCCTCTAGCCTTGGCAAGCTTTTGCGGATGGGTCGTTTTCGGGCATGGGAGACTAGTGCTGAAAGGGGATATTCAATGCTACTACCTTCTGCCAAATCTAGATGAGTGGTGGTGAAAGCAAGTGCTTCTTCTAGTACATGTTCTCCATGCACACATAAATGTGCAGCTTCATATAATTCTAGCAAGCCTTTCACATCACTTGTTAAGGACATCTTGAAGTGTCCTTCATCATCTTTGAACTTGTTGAATGTTTCTGCTTAATCAAGAAAGGTATATTAAACATTCACCAAAGTTTGACATAGTAGTACTATATACATACATATATATATTATATGGAATTTCTCCATTGTGGAAGTGCATAATAGGAGATATTGGACTTACCACATTGAACATTAAATCCATTCTCTCTAAGTAATCGAAATTGAAGAGATGTAGCCTCGAGACTTTTGTCATCTTTGTACTCATTGTGGACATCAATTTGTCCAGAAAAAAAAATAAATACAAAATACTAAATACAATAAAAAATATATAAAAAATAATATAAAATAACAAATACAAAAAAATAGAAAAATAGAAAACAGAAAAAAATCGAGGATGGCAGTGGTGCCGTCCTCGGCACCACTGCCACCGGACCTTACTTCCCACCCTTCTGATCACTATACCCTACCTTTCACCCCTCTAATTACTCATCCCGTTGACAAAATGTCAAATAAGACAGAAACGAATAAAAGCGGCATGGGGCTCGTGCTTACACCTCATACCCTTCCTTCAAGCATACGCACGATCGGAGCTCTATAAATAGAGCTCCTAGCCAAATCAAACAGAGAGAGAGAAAAAAAAAGAGGAGAGAGCTGCAAAAATGAAAGGAAAAAAAACATAAA